ACCAGAGAGAGGCCAGAGAGAGAGACCAGAGAGAGGCCAGAGAGAGACCAGAGAGAGACCAGAGAGAGACCAGAGAGAGACCAGAGAGAGTCCAGAAGAGAGTAACCAAGAGAGAGACCAGAGAGAGAGACCAGAGAGAGAGACCAGAGAGAGACCAGAGAGAGACCAGAGAGAGACCAGAGAGAGAGACCAGACAGAGAGAGACCAGAGAGAGAGGCCAGAGAGAGACCAGAGAGAGACCAGAGAGAGACCAGATAGAGACCAGAGAGAGACCAGAGAGAGACCAGAGAGAGGACAGAGAGAGTGACCAGATAGAGAGTCCAGATAGAGACCAGAGAGAGGCCAGATAGAGACCAGAGGGAGACCAGTGAGAGAGGACAGAGAGAGAGACCAGAGAGAGACGGGGGGCCGAGAGAGGGGCGGGGGGGGGGGGGGGGGGGGGGGGGACAGAGATCGACCAAAGAGAGACCCAGAGGGTGACCAGAGAGAGAGGACAGAGAGAGAGACCAGAGAGACCAGAGAGAGAGGACAGAGAGAGACCAGAGAGAGACCAGAGAGAGACCAGAGAGAGACCAGAGAGAGAGTGACAAGAGAGAGAGACCAAGAGAGAGACCAGAGAGAGACCGAGAGAGAGAACCAGAGAGAGAGGACAAAGAGAGAGAAGACCAGAGGGCGACCAGCGAAGAGAGGACAGAAGAGAGACCAGGAGAGAGCCCATAGAGAGGACCAGGAGAGAGACCAGAGGGAGACACAGAGAGAGACCAGAGAGAGAGAACCAGAGAGAGACCCAGAGAAGAGACCAGAGAGAGCCCAGAGAGAGAGGACAGAGAGAGAGACCAGAGAGAGACCAGAGAGAGGCCAGAGAGAATATTGTTTCCCACAATATTTTACTCTGAACAAACTCTTTATTTTGGGACAAGGAACATGTATTATTTATGGGAGGGTGAAGTTAGGTATCCCAGTTTTAAACACCCATACACTCATGTCCAATTCAAAATCTGAAAATCTACTCTGTTGAATGAATCAAAACAAATCAATAATTTTAAAGTATTGTTTTGTCAATAATTAATCAGTCAAATACTAAAAACTAACAAATCCTTCATGACCTTATCCAACAGAAAAAAACATTACTTTCTATAAAAAACCATTGAGTGAAATCCATTACTTCAAAATGGCCAAGGCTTTGTTCGACTTTTAAAACAAATGAACAACTGCCAGTAAATTCTCACTGGAAGATTAGGAGATAGAGAGTTCCAGCAACAATACCAACGTTCACAAATGTTGAACCGACGCCATGTTTTTGGTGATAATAAACGCTCACATTAAAATGCACTTCATTCTGGCACGAAGGGATCTCGTTACTGGCGTCTCTTTGGTTTTAAAATAATGATATCGGAAAGTAAAAGCTCGTCATGTGGGAGTGTGCTGGCGTGTGTGCGTGGGTGGGACAAAGCAGATTGTAGCTAAACACGGAGAGATGGATAGACAAGGAGAGGGCCACTGCTGTTTGCCCATTCATCTCAGGTGTTCGCCCAAAGAGCTCAAGCGTGACAGCTCATCCATCAGCCACCGGGGGAAGCAGCGAGTCCTGGAACCGGACCAAAAAACGCGGGATGTATCCATCACGGGCATTCTGTTCCTCTGCATCAAAAATCTGCTGTTTAAAGGAAAGAAAAAAGGGGAAGGTCCAAAGCAAGAGTTCTGCAGGCTCAACATGGTACAAGGACACCTAGGGGTCTGACGGGGTATTACAGGGGGAAAGGATTAGCAATGTATGCACTTAAAATGTATTATTATCACACACAGTTGATATTAACACGGACTATACACAATAAAAACACACACATGAAATAACAATGAGAAAGATAATAATAATGCACTTTCTGACGGTTGTTGTTTTTAGTAAAGTGTATTTTGCTGTAAATATATTGAATTACTCAAGTCTACTGGCTGTATTTACGTTACACCATTAAATGATATATATTTGCTATGACATATTTTATACATTACATTATGAAGCTAATTCTATGAGAAAACAACCACAGCATTTGTTTAGTTAATAATAATATTGGTAATGATAATATAATAATTAATCTGTCAGTCAGCTGTTATAAAAATCCTTTCTCACTTCTGGTACTGTTTCAGGCATGTAGTATGAAATGGTAAGAATGCATTTGAAACATATTTTTTTCCAACAGAATAAAATTAAAAGAAAGATAAAAAGAACAACAAAAATAACAAAATAAAAGTGCTGTAGACCTCTATAACAGTATATATCTATAACTATAACAGTCCGGCCTTATCCATCCGTACTCTCCGCTCAAGAGTCAAGAGTTTGCGCTGAACGGGCAGGTTGTAGTTTGGTGAAGAATGCGATAGTAAAGTATTCTGGTCTGGTTCTATCAAGAAACTGAAGCCGGAGAAAGAGGAATGTTTAGCAAAAGTAATCGCTGGCAAAGATTGTGGCGCTACTCCCCACTGGCTCCGTTAGCGGCAAAGGAGATGGCTAAAGCTAGGCTAAATGCTAAACGCTAACAAATCACTCGGGCGCATTACAAACGTCACGGTAAACTCAGATCCAATCGTTTCAATCTGTAAAAGGAGTTAACCCCTCCCACCTGTTAACGGAGTCAATGAAGCACCTCCAGACCTTAGTACGAAATGTATTTTGTACTATGGTGTGGTACGACCAGGCTATTATAACAGTGTAGACTAATATTTCTTGAGCACGACCAAAATAAAGTTGTAAACCTGAGCGCTGCATGAATGATTATTTCCCCCCTCTCTTCTGGTTCCCTGTCTGCGCTGGTGAGGGGTACACAGGGCAAAGAGGTTGGGCACCACTGCTCTACATCATTACATTCCAACACAATGAGAATATGCTGAAGTGTTGACATGACGCAGAGAGAGGTTACAGAGGCAGACTCCGCAGTATGGCTCGGATAACGCTCGCTTTTTAGGTGTGAACACTACGCATATTTAATATCTCAATGTGATCTTATACCGCTGAAACATTAGGAGACGCAGTAGCCATCTTAGCTATAACCTGCAGAGAAAGAAACAGAACATGTGTCTGTGGTTTGGGTCCGGGCTGCACTGAAACATATTCATAAGAAAAGAGAATATTTCATAATCTCAGGACAGTTTTGCA